AGTTGGCGTGACAATTTATTACACTGTTTTACACTGGCACTAACATTAACGTTCACTACATTAGCTGAAATTAAGTTGTATAATAATTTGTAAATTAAGAAACAAATCTGAAAAATCCCCCAGGAATTATTAAGACTCTTCCCGAACCCCAAAGGCAAAAATACATACTTGAAGATTTGAAATATTCAAATACCTCTATTTTAATATTTGAGAACGGACCTAAAAACACGATAGTCCAGTGGTCAAGGCATTTGGATACAGAATAAAGATGCCTGGGTTCGAATCCTAACGCTGACAGGCTTTTTTCAAATATCCAAGTATGTGTTTTCAACTTTGGGGTTCGGGGATGGTCTGAAACCTAGAACCATGAGGTGGGGTCTCCGATGACCCTATCACATACATTTTTGGACATGCTTTTCTGAAGCTGTAAAGTCGTGCTTCTGTCTACCTTTAGTACAGATTGGTATTTCGAAGTTGTACGTGTGCGTTTTTCAATTTATTAACTTCTAGTAGTGTTTGCAAGTGCATTTCAGCTTTTGACTCTACCTTGTGATTAACGTAACAAGTTTTATGTAGTTAAGTTTTTTTTTTAATTATTCTTATGGTACCTTATCAAGTTTTTTCGTTAATTAGAATAACAATATGGAATCAAATAAATGTCTTCTTACTGACGAAGAACTGTGGAAAGCTCTCTCTGAAAGTAATCTTAGTGATAGAGAAGAAAATTGTATAGATGAAAGAGACAGCAAAGATAAAGACATTTTACTAACGAACGATCATCTTAAAGACGAAGATGAGGCTAACTCAGATGATAATGTGGATATTGATCAAAATGTCGAGAATGTGGAAAATAACTACCATCCCAAATTATTGGGTACACTTGACTTTTGATATCCAAGTGAACAGGAAATTCATCAAAAAAGAATATTGTCCTTCATCTTGGTCTAAAGGGAGAAGCTAAAAAAAAATCGCATCAAAGAATTGTGGCACCTTTTTTTTCTCCTGAAAACTTATCAAAATAATTTTAGGTTGCACAAATAAAGAAATTAAGGATCGTAAAGCAAAGTTAACCACTGATCAATACTATACACAAAAGCAGACAGAACTAAGCTACTAGCTTTATATAAATTGCTCCTATTTGCTGGTGTTTTAAAAGTGCCTAACAGATATGTGGTCTGAAAAATTCGGTGTTTCGATATTTAGATCACTATGTCAAAAAACCGTTTCCAATTTTTAATAAATTGTTTACATTTCGATGATAAACTCACTCATCCAGAACATAAAGCTTTGGTTAAAATTGCCCCTCTAAGAGAAATATGAGATACTTATATTTATACAGGGTTGTCAAAATAATTATACTCCTTCAGAGTATTTTTAACCATAGATGAGCAATTGCTAAGCTTCAGAGGATGAAGCCTCTTCAAAATGTATATTCTCAATAAGTACGGTATAAAACTGATAATGATGTGCGATGCCAAAGCAATGAATATGAGCTCTATTGTGCCATGTATTGGAAAGGAGCTGCGAGATTCGCAAATAGGGTCAATCCGAACACAACATGTTTTAAAGTTGACTTGAAAACATTCAGGGTACTAATCGCAATATAACCATAGATAATTAGTTTTCCTCTTGTGAGTTAGCTGAAAAACTGTTAGAAAAAGGTTTAAAAATGGTTGGAACCCTCTGCAAAAATAAAAGGGAAAATCCAGCTCAATATTTGGAAACGAGGCGTTCACAAATTCCTCCATCAGCCTTTGCATTTACTTAAAAGTTTACCCTTGTTCCACATATCCCAAAACGAATCAAAGGCGTTGTTCTAATAAGTTCCATTCTTCAAATAATGTTGACCAAGATACGGGTAAACCAGAAATAATCTTGTTCTACAACAGTACAAAAGGAGGTGATGATACTTTTGATCAACTTTGCCTTTTAAAAACGGTTGTTAGAAAAACAAGATTGTCACTAAGATTTTTGTATGTTATGTTAGATGAAGGAGACATGAATACAATAGTTTTGCCCAGGCATAAACATTGTAATAAAAAATTTTCCGGTCTACATATATAAAGTTGTTAGCTGATTTACTATTAAAGAATCACATGAAGCAAAGGACACCTAATCCACGATTGCCAAAAAAGATAAGGGTATTTATTCTGAATTTCCTGAGAACAACGACCTGTCGAGAAAGGGCCTCGTCGATGTAATTTCTGCCCAAGAAAACACGATAGAAAAGGACGTCACGTTTGTGTTTACTGTGCAAAAAATATATGTATGCAATACATCAGTTCAGCATTTGTGAAGTTTGTAAATCGTAAACTAATATCCTTTTCCATTCTAAAAGTTTTTATTTTTTACTATGTGACACCTTACGAAGGGTCCTTTAAAAATAAGAACTCTTTATCTTTTAACTCACCCTGTATATATTTTTTAATTTAGGTCTTACGAATGTTTTATACTTAACAACCGTGTTTTTGTTTGCAAAATACAAAGGGTTGCTCGCGACCCCATATTGTAAAAAGTGTTTCGCTCATTTCACATTGTGGTTCTAGAGTTAATAATTCGTTATTAATTTCTGAGATTTGTTTCCAAATTTTCAATTATTCAATAACATCATTGTTTATTCTTATTTATTTTTGTTTATTTGGTCGAAGAGTAAAATCAGCAAGTGTAATAACTGGCATTATTATTGGAAAATATATTGAATTTACTAAAAATTCTAAAAAAGTATTTATAAAGTTTGAAATTAAAAATTCAAAAGAAAACACACGTATGGAAATAAAAACAAATAATCATGTTATTACTCTAGTTAATGATTAACATTGAACTAGAGAATTCAAGGTAGAGCATGACATTTTTAAAAATAAAACACATAAATTTTGGGTTTATATAGACTAGATAGAAAGAAAAGACTCTCTCGAGTAAGGACTCTCTCCTGACTAAGGACTGCGGTCCAAAACTCTTGTTTCGGGCTATGTGTCGAAACAAAGTAATGTGTAAAATTTTTGTGCAACGATTTGTAAATTATGGTTAAATATCTTTAACTTGTTTCTAAAGTGTTTTGTTTGATAATAATTAATTGATTTACATATATAAATGCCAATTTTACATTTTCCTCTCGATTGTTATATTTACCCTATACATATTTTTATATTATTAAGTAGTTAAAGTTTTCCAGTGCTATTTATAATTGTTAATAAGTCCAAACTGTGTAGTTCAATTAAGTGTTCATCTAGTGTCATAAATTTTTATTTAAAGTTTGGATATATTATCAAATAGTGCTTTACGCCCTAGTTATAATTTGAGTAAATTTATTTTTTAGAATACTAGTCACTTTTGTACTTATTTTAAATATACGTTAGTTAATTTTTTAATACTTAATATTAATCTCTCCTTCCCCTTTCAATACCAGGCTAATATTCCGATCATTTGAGAAGCCTCGGCGTTTCTATTTCCTTAGGACTAAAAGAGTTTTAAACTAGTTACCAAGAACTGCTCGACTATGCTATTAAGGGATAATTTTTTATTTCTTTAATTTAATTTTTTTATTATTTTTATTTGCCACTGAGAAATTGATGGTCCTTCTGGACTCCACGACCCTTTGGCTGGTGACAGTACTGCCTTAATCCCTTTATAGTATATTAACAACAGTAGCTAAGGACCTGTCAGTAATTACAAATGGTCTTTATGCTAGTTGGTTGTTACATTTGGTGACAAGTGGTGGTCCTTTAGGTTTCCCGGTTATTACATTTGGTGATAGCGATGAAAAAAGGGTGTTGAAGGTGTTGTTTATAACTGCGTAGTTATAAAAAAAGCAAAGGTGAAAGGCGAGGCATATACAAACTACAAAGGAAATGCAGTAAATGCTCGAATTTTTAACCTGACTTCTGCAAGAAAGTGACGACTACACGGTGTTAAATTTTCAGGTGTAGGACAAAATGTTTTTCTAAAACGCCCGAAGGTGATCGTGCTGAAATCTTCAAGAAGTTTTATGATTTTACTATAAAAAGTGAACAGGATTCGTATCTCCAGGCTTTGATAGAATGTACTCCAGTGACAATAAAACGTCAACGAGTAAATCCAGAGGGTGCGAAACCTAAATCGCATACTTTCAAATACAATGTATCTTCTAGATCTGGTAAGTTTGCAGTATGCAAGGCGGCATTTATGAGTATACATGGCATAACAACGGATCGTGTCTGGCGCTTGTCCAATCTACTTTCTTTGGGAAAATCTCCTAGAGACAAACGAGGAAAACCAAACTTCTGGAGAAGTCATAAGAATGATAGAGGATCACATTTGATCGTTTCCTGTCAAGCGTGGTCATTACACTAACAGCAATTACCAATATTTGAGTAAAAAACTGGATATCAAGAAGATGCATCAACTTCTGCTTGAGAAATACCCAGAATGTTCTGTAAAGTACAGTTTTTATAGACGAATTTTTTGAAAAAAATTTAGTTTATCTTTTGGAAGGCCCCAAGTGGATACATGTTGTACGTGCGAAGAACTTTCCAACAAGATTATATCGAAGTGTTTAAATGATTTTGCAAAGAGATGCTTAAAAGATGGTCTATCAAAGAAGAGTGAAGAAGTTTTTCACGAAAATGAAGTCATTTCAAGAGTTATGCCAAAACGAGTGATCCGTTGGAGGGATTTGTATTGACTGCATGCAAAATTTCTCTCTTCCTTAAATTCCTGTCCAGATATATTTTACCTAGACCAGCTGACAGTAAACGTCTCTAATATCCATAATTTGAGTGAGTCGTTCTACTACATCTATCATGAAGGTTTGGGCAAGAAAGGACCCAACAAGGTTTGTTCTTTTATCATGGACTTTATAAGGCGAGAAATTCCTGAAACTATTAAACATCTTCATATTTTTTCCGACGGATGTGGCGTACAAAATAAGAATCACTGCGTTATAAGGAAGTGTAGGGCGCTAGTAGATCTTGGACGTTTTATGACTGTAAATCAGTATTTTTCCGATAAGAGGGCATTCCTTCATGTTTTGTGATAGAAACTTCGCTGTGGTTAAAAGAAAGATAAAGAAAAAAGACAGAATTTTTTTATTGAAAGAATATAGTGAACTCATCATCACATCAAGCTGCAAAGGAAGTTTTTCCGTTTATCTGATAGATAAAGAAAATAGCGTGTTAAAAGATTACAAAACATGGTGGCTCCAATTTTACAAGAAAAACTGCTTGTCTATAGCTTCCTTAGGTAGAGGGGTACCAAAAGATGAGAAAGTTTTGTTTACTATTTCAACTTTTATGCAGTTCACTCATACAGAAGACAAGAAAGGTTATGTCCTTGCCCGCAACTACATTGATGGTCTTATCGAACATGAATTTAAATTAAACACATCCACGCCAATCACATCTTTTCCCATCGAAGCTGCCTATCCAGACGTCAAGGTACCAATTAATGCCAAAAAAATGGTATCCATCAAGAAATTTTTATCAAGAAATATTTTCTTGGCCAACAGTGGGTAGAGAAGATGAAGATGTTGTTGAATATTAAACATTTAGTTAATCATGTATCCATTAAATTAAGTTGTTCATAAAATAAAAATAAATAACTAAAAAAGTTCTGTGTAAATAAAAGTGTATTTTAGAAACCACACATGTCCAGTCGCCATTTTATGCTTTTATTGATGCAGCAAAGGCTGTATATTTAAATTTCCGTGAAATTTCTAACGTATCTTCACAAACCCTAAAAGTATATTTCTAGTTGTATAATGTGATTTTGCATAAAACAGTTTTTTTTTCATTTTTCTCATAACTATCATTCGTGGACATGTAGGGTTTCTCAAATATGTGATTCATTTGTAGCAAGTCACAAATAAATAAAATATGTTCTAGGAACAAAATAATATAATACAAAATATTACACAAATAATAATATAACTAATAACTTAAAATTTATATGAAAGGCCTCAGTAAAATTATAAATTTTCATTAGTTTAACTTGCATAATGTAGGTAAGTAATATTTCTTTTAATAGGAGACTGTAGGAAGCCTTAAATTTTTAAATTATCTTATATCAGTAACAATAATTTTTAAAGTTAGTGCTCTTTTTAAGTGTCCTTCCAAAGTATTCTTCTTGTTGACGAGGCCACGAGCCGACACTGATTCCTAGTACAGCTTATTCTTTATTTAAGCTTTATCGCTTTCAAAGAAATAAACCATTTTGTCCCTTTTTCAACAATGACACGATTTTCAACCATTAATTTCAATTAAATAAACTAGCGCCTGTCTTCAACATAATAATGGCGATCCGTAAAATTTAGATTAATATTCTTTTGAGTTGACAAGGAACGAGAATATTTTAAATTTATTGAAAGTTTTGGACGAACGTTAAATTAAGCTTTTCTGACGGCTCTTATCGCTTTCACAGTGTAATTTTTTACTTTCCATTATAACGAATACTCGTACATCATTTGATAATAATAATAATAATAATAATTTGATAATAATGTGACAAAAAAAAAAATTCACACACTGTTAGATATATACAGGGTAGGTTAGGTTGATCAGCATGTCTCAACCATGAAGGTTTCAACTATGAAGACTAGAACCTAAGGAGGCGAATCGACGTACTCGAAATACGGTCCCAAAAAACGAACGCTAATTGAGTTTTTTTAACTTACCGCAAGGGCACTGGTGTTGCTAGCGCTATTCAAAGTACATGGCTTTCTGTAATTTTGTCAAAATAATAAAAATAAACCTGTTTGTTGTCAAATAAAGTATAATATATACTGTTGTATTTATTTCTAAATAAGTTTCACATGTCTTAATTGATAAATTATTTAATTTTATCTATATAAAATGCCAATTAGGTAGGTATGACCAAATTCGAAAAGGTTTGTTAAATGGTGAAATTTGGTAAGTACAATTTTGTGGCTAATTTTTTTTGATTACACTCAAATATAGTTTTAAGAGAAAAATAAAATACAGTTAACAGATTTTTTATTGTTGTATTACAAGAATAAAAGGAGATTTGGGAATGTACATAATATTGCTTCATCCTTTAATTTCAGCTTACCTCTTTTAATTTTGCTAACAGTACCATCAGTTAAAGAATCTCATAATATTTGGAAATATCTTCTAAAAAGTGTAAAACAGCATCATCTTTAGAAAGTACTTCATCGGCCCTAGGAACGATATATATGCTGCCACAGTTCTAAGCGTTTATAAAAAACATTTATTGCAATGAAAAAAGTGGGGCTCAACAGAAAGATAATAGAAGGAACTCTTTATCTTATATTAAAACTCTATAAACATTGAATGTATTACTGTTGTTTGTAAGTCAGGATCTATGACTGTAAAATTTCATATTACAGAAACGTGTAATAAAATAAACTACACTCCGTAAGATACGTGTTGCGACTAATTACAATATTATATTTAGACATAAATACATTATTTTACTTACTTTAGAATCTTTAAAAAGAAATTTAATTTACTTTTTCTTATGTTTTCTTTAGTTTTACATCTGATTTGTATCCTGTTTTAAAATCTGGAACAAAGTAAATCTTGCTTCGATGTTTTTTGTCACTCACTTTTTTCACATTATTTTAATTCTTTTCATCAGTTTTTTAAAAACTCACTTCATTTTACATTGACTTACATAGAAAATGAACGGCTGTAACTTTCGACCTGCCAACTACAGTCAATTTAGCGAATTTGATAAAAAGAAGGGTGGAAATTTGAAATTTGACCATTGCCGATTCGCCTCGTTTTCTCTAGTCTTCATAGTCTCAACATAAAGGAGCTATGAAAATTACACCAACCAGAGCCTTGGAAATTATTCTAGTCTAGCTCCCATTGATATTTACGTCAGTGAAGTTACTCGAATGATAATGACACGAGTCTGCACATAGTCCTCACGATTAAAATAGAATCGGATGTAGAAGCTTTGTATGGAAATAACCTAATAATTCAAATAATGATGGTAGATGGGATTATATGGATTTTCCTTACCTGTAAATAAAATGACATCATCAGTCATCTTTAAGTCGTCTCAGAGTGCCATAACAAGTAATAATAATAACCATATTTGCCTCGCACAAGTTCTGCTTGGGGTTTCACTCGTATGGGGGCGAAGGGCAGAAAAATATTTTTTTTATTATTATATTATTATTGTGTTTTCATTTATTTGATTTATTTTTTTTTATATTTCTTGGGAATTTTTAGTAAATATATTTATATAAAACTTTGTATGCTATTTATTTTACCCCTCATATTTATTTTTCATAGAATTTTACATTTTTATTTGCATTTCATAATTATTTATTATTGTTACAAATAGCTAATACAAAAATAAAACTTTTAGTGATAATTAAAAAGAAAATTTACTTCAGCAATTATATGTTTCTAACCAATACGAAATATAGCCATCAACATTTTTATAGTTTATTTTTAATTTTTAGGGAATAAAAAATATATACCTTTAGGTAAAAGTGGAATAATATCTTCTTCTCTGGAGTCACTATTTCCAAATTTGATTTAAATATTTTCTCAAAAATTGAGAAAATCTTTACAGAAACAGAATTTTGCGATTTTTTGCAATCTAAATTTGATAAAATTTTGAAAAGGTGGCTCCAAAGAAACATATTATATAACGTTTACCGACACGTACATGTTCTTTTTACACTAAAAATAAAAAAAAATGACTGAAATTTGGGATGGCTATATTTTTTATTAGATAAAAAACAATAATCGCTTAAATAAATTCTCTTCTTAGTAGAAGTGAAAAAAGCTCACCAAGTTTCAAATTAAATGTGATATTACGGGTAACTACATTACTGACAGAGTAATAGTTAATATTACAGGTAACATTATCAACAGAATAAGATTAGTTCAACCATCCGCACCCACAGGTCGCTGCAAGCAAACAAAGACACGTCGAAATGTATAATGATAATATTTTGTATTGTTAGATTATTTCTAATTTCTAATAAGAAAAATATTATTTACCTAAAGAAAAAGAACCAGTTTTAGTGAAATCTTAGCCCTACTTATAAAAAAGTCTCTCAGAGAAAGTTTAATATTCGCATAGCGAAGTTTTTGAATCAGACTAACTTTAGATATTATACTTGTCACTTTCTTTTAGATTATTGCTAACTTGGCTTTTTTTCGCGATAAAATTTGAATATCTCTCATCACATTGACAATAACGACTCCGGCTTGGGTTAATTTCATAGACATAGAAGGTGCTTTTGATAAAACTACCTTCTTCAAGATAACACACTTACTAACCAACAGGAATGTTCCACAGATGGTTAGTGGGTGGATACATAACATGCTCTCAAAACGAGCAGTAAACATAAGTGTAGAAGATGTGAATATAAGAGGCTTGGTTTGGAGGGGATTTCCACAGGGAGGGCTTCTATTACCTCTACTGTTGAAAATGGTCCTCGACACCCTCATCAGTCGCCTTAATAATGACAGTCACTACACAATAGCATATGTAGATGACATGGTCATTCGGCAAACAGGGAATTTTGAGAACATACTCTGCGAAAGAAATTCTAGAACAGTGATGTAAGGACCATTCACTGTCTATCAATCCTAAAAAGACTAAAATGGTCCTTTTCACAAGGAAAAGGATAAACATAAAATTAAAACCTCCAGAACTCCTAAACACAAAACTAAACTTTGCACCAGAGGTAAAGTACCTAGATCAGTTAACATGGAACTCGCATTTAGAAAACAGTCAAAAAAGCATACATTGCTTATGAACAGATCCAGATCCCTAAACATTAACATAAAATGGGCTGTGAGCAATAGTGCCAGTGTAGTTCAAACAGAGCTTACAGGGATTCTCATAGCAGTAAAAGAAATCACCAGAAACAATATCACTGGAAGGAACATGCTCATCTATACAAATAGCAGACAAGCACTACTCACCCTGAACAGACCATGAATTTATTCAGGGTTAGTACTAGACTGTCACGAAGTTTTGGCCGAAGTATCCATCAACAACTTAGTCACCTTAAGATGGATCAAAGGTCACACCACATCGAAAGGTAACTGTCTTGCTGATTTACTGGCCAAGAAAGCGACCAACCAATTACTTTTTGGACCCTTCCCTTCTATTGGCCTAACAAATTCGGTAGTGACATACCTAATTAAATAACATTCCCTTGTGAAATTCAAGAAAAGATTGGATAAAAAAAGAAACTGCAGAGTTGCCAGGGAGCTTTTAAGTTATCCTGACAACACTGCAGCAAACAAATACTTGATTATGCCTAGACAGAATTGGTGCCAAGTACGAAAACATCTTCATATCATGGGGCTGTCAGAATCCGCACTCTACAGAAGGCGCGAAAAAGAAGATGAGACCTTTAAACATATCCGTTACGGTTGCTCGACGTTCTCATTTATAAAGTATCGGCTAACACCGACCAATATAAGAGAAGCACCTCTTGGCGACGTTGTCAACTACATTAAATCTGTAGGCTGGCTCACGAGCTATCATCTTAGAAGGA